AAACCAGCCTCCAAAAAATACTTATTGTCTCACAATCTTCTACCCTTCTGCCTTTCAGGGACAATAGCAGTGTAGCCCAAATGCAATTATATCTCTCTTAGCCACAACATAAATGCAAAAATATTCTTAACATATTTCAATAGCAGATTTATAGCACATAGCTGTTTATTACCAGCTGATTAATGGCTCAGTAGCAGCGAAGAAATCAAAATTCAAGGTTTTTTTTAATAAGATGGTTCAATCATCTTTAATGGAGATTATAAATTAGAATAAACTGAGACTCAAAATGTACTTTGAGCATTCAATAGGAAGACAGGACTCAGTAGGAAAAAAAGCAGTAGGAAAAAAAGCAGTAGGAAAAAAAGCAGGAAAACAGAAGCAACTAACCCAAACACAAGACGGATTGATACAATAAAGGAAATCATGACCTTTAGTCTGCAAGATCTGAGCACTGCTGTTAATGACATGTCATTATTCCACCACTATGTCAGAAGGCTTTCACTCCTGAGTTTGATCAAATACAACTTGTCAGTGACCTTGTCTGAATGTGACAGATTCTGGTTAACTTGATTTACAATTTGTTAGTAAGAAGCCAACTTAAAACCACAAACTATGAAACTGGTTTCCTTCAACAAACATAGTCAACAAATTGTAAATTAAAATCGGTTTGTAGTCCTAAACTGTGGTTATTCTATGATGGAGGTCAAAGTTTCTGATCTTGTTGGTGCAGTTGTGCTGGATAAGGTGAGTGGAGTATATAGAGCTGGAGGCTCTCTTACGCTGTCACCTGTCATTAAAACCATAATGTCATAATGTTTGAACATAATGATTTCAAACATACAAAGGAAAAACATGAACCTAACCTATATAACATTGTGAGAATCTGAAATAACATATAAATAACATATTTTGATATAATGTTTGTTTGTTTGTTTGTTTGCAGGCACTACTCTGGGCAGTTTCCCCAAAACACCATATAACATAATAGATTCAATAATATGGCGATCTAACCGTTTAGGTCTAAAATTCATACCAAAAACTTTAAAATTACCATTAAAATTAACAGCACACAGGATAATCTGTTGTTGAAAGAAGCTTTTAATAATTCTGTTTTCACCAAGGAAGGAACCCTGCATATTTCAGTTGATAACTTATTTCAAAGACTGGGAACTCCTACCAAAAAGGCCCAATTCCCTGTTGTTACCCTTTTGGCCTCTTCTCAATGTGGCCACTTTTAGCAACATGGACTGAGAGGACTGGGTGAAATGAGTAGGTGATTTCTGAAAGATGTTTCAACAAGTATCACAAGTAGTGTTTACAATTATTGTGGTGGAGGGAAGGAACATAGGAGGCTGGACTTCCTTGAACTTAATTTTTTAAAAAGAAGGTAAGGAGGAGTAAGAAGGCCTGCCTCCCCTCCTCATATACTTTGAGTACTACACACAAAACGACTTCAAAAGGACTGCAAGAATACAAATACTCTGCTTGAACTGGCACCCAGTGGCCTTATATTACAAAAGCAACCGGAGATTTGTATGTGTGCATATATCAACAATTCAAGGACCAATGGTCCTGTCCTAATGAACATACCATACAGCACTAGAGTCATGCATACCCTGTGCTTTATTCCTCAAAACCATGACCAGAAACATACACAAGGAACACACACGGGTGACTTCACTTTTTTAAAGGCTCCAGAGACATTCTGAAAACTTAGTACATTTATGCTATATGAAAATTACTGTTCAATAATGCAGATTATTAAATAAAACCCTTTTTATAGTAGTTGCTGATGGCCTTCCAAGGTCGAATGGACAGGAAAAAATGTTAAAGATGACACATAAACGAATATGATTTAAAGCACTGTATAAAATCACTTTCCTTACTGACATAGTTACACTGACTTCAGCCTTTCCATTGGGACCTAAACTAATTACATGAAAACATGAAACTTGGGTGGTACATCTCTCAAGCCATACAATGTCCAACATATTATGTTTATTATCACCTAAAATGAAAGGACGTGTATGCATTTATGTGTGCTCACGCATACAATTTTTTAAAAATCTCTGTAATAAATTTTAAAATACCTGTATATGTCATGTTTTACACTTGCACGTGATTTTTGACTGCCATCATAATCTTCAGGAGGCATGTAGATAATAGTACCTCCTTCAGGCATAGATTTCTCACTCCGTGATAGTGACATGGATATCATGCGCCATTTTGATAACCCAAAATCTGCAATCTGGGAAGGAAGATAGGGGAGGAGAGAAACTCAGATGAAGCAAACCATAAGCAGCCTGTTATGAGGTTAAACCAGAGGTTTCATTCCATGAACAAAAAGAATGCCTGCTCACGGCCTCCCCACTTACCTATTTTTGAATAAAATATTTGGATCTGTGTTATTATTTTAACCATGAGAAACAGCACTGGGACCCCTTTCATTCTGTTATCATTGCTACTTAGTTAAAATTCCGTGTCAATCTGCTGCAAATCACCTAGTCATCTTTGAAGGTAAATATCTACCTCTGACTTTTTATGGGGACTAAAATTTAAAGAATGCCCCAGTCAGCTACCCTACCCTTGGTCATTTTGGCCTCCTGCATTGGAAAGGAAAAGCCAGAATTCACCCATACCTTAACATGAAAGTCACTGTCAAGCAAAATATTCTGGGTCTTCAAATCGTGGTGCAGGAGTGGAGGAGTCATGTTGTGAAGGTAGTTCACTCCCAAGGCAATTTCATAAAGCATGCGAAACCTCAGCGACCAAGCAAGGTCAGGATACACATTTTTCTGTTTTAGAAAAAGGCATATGAAAAGAGGCTTAAACATGCATATTTGCTTATTTGAATTTATTTGAATTCATGTAAATTAATTCATTGATTTGATTTTTATTCTGCCCATCTGGTCAAAAGCCACTCTGAGCAGTTTACAACACACACACAAACACACACACACAGAGACCATCAACAACAATCGCCAAACATTATAAAACATAACTAAACCTTCAAAATAAACATGAAAATAAAAATAAACAGTGAATTTTAAAATACATTATAAAATACATAAAACATTTCAAACTAAGACAATATAAGGCCATCCATATTTAAAGGCACTAGCTTTATTTCCCAACCACTGACAAAATGCTTGCCGATATTAAGAAGCCTTGCACCGATTCTAGAAAGGGACCACATATTCAGCAGCCATTTAGAGCAGGAGTGGGAACTTCTACTCCACCCTGATGTTTTGGCCAACAACTCCCATTGGCCCCAGCTATCATGGCCAATGGCTAGAAACCGCTGGAGTCCAGCAGTCCAAAGTATCTAGTAGTCCAAATTCTCCCCCCTCCTGAATTAGGGTCTTATTAGATAAGCACCCCCTCTTTGACACTAATTAATGGAGACAAGCTGTGATAGTCTCACCTACTTTCAGCATAATTTCCCCTTGACACTAACACACACCACTGGAGAAGACTAGGAGACTTGATCGTACTTTTTCCTCAATTGCTCACAGAACTGGCAGCTTTCTGGAAAGTTCCATTAACTTCCCCGTCTAACATAAACATTGCCCATGGACTCAATAATCATGCTACTGACACTACTCATACTTACACCGTGTAAGAGTTCATTCAGGGACCCATTTGGCATATATTCTGTCACAATGCCCAGAAATTCAGGTTCATTGCAAATTCCCAGAATTGGCAGAATGTAACTGAACCTTGCCTGGTGTAAAATTTCTGCTTCTTTTAAAAGATTGGCTCTCTCGCTGCAAGAAGAAAAAGAGAAAATTAAACCAATTTGACCATTTCTATATTAGATTACAGGATCAGATCAGATAAATCAAGAAATTCTTGGGCTGTAATATTTTTGCAAAAAAATGTAAATGTCTAGTGCAGTAAGAAAATTAAAATGTATTTTCACCCAGTAAACAGATTATATAGTGTAAAGGGCCCATCTGGTGATTTCCATGTATAGAATAATCTACACTTATTCATATTTATGTATTAATCTTCTGTCTATCCTAAATCTCAATTAAGGTTGCTTACAATAAGTCAAGCCTAATGAATTACTGTATAAGACATCTTATTCCTTTTACATGTCACCCAGAAGCTTCATAGTAGATTAGACATATTCCAGTCCTGCACGAAGCCAAACCCCTTCCTGGTCTTGTTTCAAATGGTTAATGACCATATGTGCTACTGAAATCAGTCTGGATCTGAGTGCAAAAGAGTTCATAAGTTGAGAGTTCCCATTATATGCTAGCGCTCTTCAAGTACTTGAAAGGTCATAACCAGGAGGAGGAGCAGGATCTCTTCTCAATCATTCTGCTGTGGACAACACTTTATAAGGGGCTTAAATTATAAGAAGCTGGATTTTGGCTGACTATCAGGAAAAACATCTTAACTTCTAGCACTTCAAAACTACCATTGATTGACCTACACTAAAAGAGGAAGAGGAGATAATCTTTTTTTTCCCCCAAAAGTAAGATGGGGTCTTATATTAATTTTTGCTCCAAAAATGCATTAGGGCTTATTTTCAGGGGATGTTTTATTTTTTTCATGTATAACTGTATTATTCAAATACAGTCATGTCATCATCTTCTGGTTGCTGCACAATGGTGGAGGGCAGGGTTTCACTTAACTGGGGCTTATTTGGGGGGTAGGGCTTGTATTACAAGCATCCTGAAAAATCATACTTATTTTCAGATTAGGTCTTATTTTTGGGGACACAGGGTAATAACAACAACAACAACAACAACAACAACAACGAGGACGAGGACGAGGACGACGATGAAAAGCAGTGGAAGCCCAGAAAGGTTAACTTCAGCATCTTTTGGGTAATGTGAGGTAAATTGACAAGACACTGGTGCTGGGGAGCTATCATTCCCAACACCTGGAGGGCACCAGTTTGGGAAAAGCTGGTGTAGGTTGTCACTTATCTTCAGGGAGTGAGGCAGCAACTACTAACCTGTTTGCAACCTGATCTCTGATGGATCACAACAACAGTGCTACCACACTGCAAGTAAGTGTGTGTGTGTGTGTGTGTGTGTGTGTGTGTAGAGACTTATTTCTTCAAAGGCATGTCTAAAGTGGATACCAATCTATGATTAAAAACCAGGCAATATGAACTACAGACAGGTAGTTTGACTGTATAATGTGTAGCCTGTATAATTAAATTGTAAACTGCCCGGAGAGTGCTTGTAGCACTATGGGGCGGTATATAAGTCCAATAAATAAATAAATAAATAAATAAATAAATAAATAAATAAATAAATAAAGATACTATAATAAGTGATCAATGAAACAAAGCCATTTCAAACTCAATTCAGTTTGAATGTCATTATTCCATATTTGGGTGGGAAAATTTTGCACTATAAGTAAAATAAATAAATGGATTGAGAGATTACTAAAATTTGCTGGATTGGGAGGGTTTTTGTTGTTGTTGTTTAGTTGTTTAGTAAATAAATAAATAAATAAAGATACTATAATAAGTGATCAATGAAACAAAGCCATTTCAAACTCAATTCAGTTTGAATGTCATTATTCCATATTTGGGTGGGAAAATTTTGCACTATAAGTAAAATAAATAAATGGATTGAGAGATTACTAAAATTTGCTGGATTGGGAGGGTTTTTGTTGTTGTTGTTTAGTTGTTTAGTCATGTCCGACTTTTTGTGACCCCATGGACCAGAGCATTCCAGGCCCTCCTTTCTTCCACTGCCTCCTGGAATTTGGTCAAATTCATGTTGGTAGCTTCGATGACACTGTCCAGCCATCTCATCCTCAGTCATCCCCTTCTCCTCTTGCCTTCACACTTTCCTAACATCAAGGTCTTTTCCAAGGAGTCTTCTCTTCTCATGAGATGGCCAAACTACTGGAGCCTCATGAGATGGCCAAAGTACTGGAGCCTCAGCTTCAGGATCTGTCCTTCCAGTGTGCACTCAGGGTTGATTTCCTTTATAACTCTCTCCTCCGAAGATGGTGTTATGGGCAGTGGAGATCCCACTGCCCACTACCTCCACAAACCCCTGGTGAATACGTGTTTGATAACTATAGACCAGGGTCTGCCTTCATGTGCAGAAACAACTTATGTGTTCCAATGTATACACAGAGAATTCTGTCTGATCTACGGTAATGCACACTGTCCTGTTACTCCCTCTACTCATTGATTCTATATATGGAGGGGTGTGTGTCTCCTATTGTTTAGGTCTTGGTTCTGTGATTTTTGAGGAGAATATCCATCTGAGTGGAGTAGCTGCACTCCTCAATCTCTGAGAAGGGTACAGCAAATCAGCTGTTGTCAGTTTGGGCAGACAGTGTTCTGAGGTGCAGCTATCTGAAGTTGGTTGAAGTTTTGAGGCTTCACAATTTTAACTCTGAGGAATTTGCTGTCTTGTATACATGTTTGTTGTTTCTCTCTACTCATTGCCTGCTTGTATATTTTCACAGAAAGCAAAGACACTTCTGCTCTTGTGTGAGAAACGGAATGCCTTGTAAGTAAACCTGGTAATGTTGTCCCTAGAACTTACTACTTGGGAAAATATGGAATATATGATGTAATTATGACATGGGACACTAGCAGCAAATTAGCTGGGGAGCTCTGGAACAGAGAAAAAAGGATAAGTAATGAAGTACAGAGATTATGTATGTCCTTTATACTAGATTTTGTTCTGTCACACTGTTATTTCCCCTTCAAGCTTTTGCGATCGCTTTTGTGATTGCAAAATGATGTTTTAATAGGGAAAAACCACTACACGACGATTGGTTCCCTGCTTCGGGAACTGATTTTTCGCTTAACGACAATCTTTACAGCTGATCGTCGGGTCTTCAAAATGGCCGCCCACTATGCAAAATGGCTCCCTGCTGTGTTTTAGGATGGATCCCTCGCATTACAGGCACTGGAAAATGGCCACCCTATGGAGAATCTTCGCTGGACGCTGAGGTATTTCACCCATTGGAACACATTGAACTGGTTTTCAATGCATTTCAATGGGCTTTTTCATTTCGCTTGACGATGATTTCGTTCTACAGCGATTTTGCTGAAACGGATTATCCTCGTCAAGCGAGGCACCACTGTAGTCTCGTGGGCACCTGTGTAAATTTAATGAGTGAATCAAGCAGAAGAAACATTATGAATTACCCTCGGCAATGCCAAGAAAAAGCTGGGGTGTTAGATCACTGTTAGTTTAATGCAGTCAGAATTATTTCCTTTACCAAAAAGAGTAAGAAAGGTCAATCCTTAGCCCTGGGTCACCAGGGCTAAGGATTCTTTAGTTATGGTCCAAAATGTTTTTCAAGCTCTGAGACAGATGTATTAACATGCATAGCCTTCTGCACAAACTGCAGAGTATACACACCAACATTGCAATGCTTATTCAAACTTTTTTTTTAATAAACTGGGTTATGTCTTTTGATTTCTGACTGTATAGCTGAGTGAGTTAGGTACCTGGAAGCAAAGCCAAAAGTTGGGAGTTCAATTGGTCACTTTGCCTCCTGGGAAAAGGCCAGCCTGTGTAGCCTTGGGCAAGCTGCACAATCCCAGAGCGTTCCCACAAGAACAGAATGGTATACTGCTTTGAGGTACTCTATACCTAGAAAACTCTGGAAATGGTCAGCATAAATTGGAACTGAGCTGATGGCATGTAATTATATTATTGCTACACAAGAGTTATCTAATTTTGTCCTGACTGGTAGAACACAGATATTGTACAATAGAACAAAACAATATTCCAGGCAACTCAAAAAAATGGGGAGGACCCCAAACAAAAAGTTAATAATTTTGAAACAGGACTTTAGATCAGCACTAAATTTGGCATACATGTAGCAGACAGTCTGCTCTTGCTCTGTGTGAATCTGGGGATGTTTACACAACTGGGTTTTGAGTTATGGTTTTTTAAAATAAAACTGCTTCCAATCCTGTGCAGATATTGGCTACCTTTTCTGTTTGCAGATTTAAAATACATCTAACACAATGAAAAGACAAAACTTGCTTACTTGGGAAGAGAGTAGTTAGTCCTAGCTTCCCCCCCTCCCGTTTTTATTATTTATTTATTTATTTATTTATTTTATATCCCGCCTATCTGGTCGGTTAAGACCACTCTAGGTGGCTAACAACATAAAAT